ACTTTAACATCATTTCAGGATATCTGGTGCTCAAAGACCTGGGCCTTAAGATCGAGCGCTACATTGCCTCAGAGATTTGTGACGATTCAATTGCTGTAGGGATGGTCAAGCACGAGGGAAAGATTGAATACGTCAATGACGTTCGCACCATTACAAGGAAACATGTGAGTACAAGCAAGACACACGTGAATGCTCAAAATGTATTTTAACTCCTTCCTGTTTTTTAAGTTCTGTGTATATGATGGCTTAATTTATCTCAGTGAGTTTGTCTCTTTGTGTGTGTTAAAGCTGGCCGAATGGGGTCCTTTCGATCTTCTGATTGGAGGCAGTCCATGTAACGACCTGTCCATGGTGAACCCTCTTCGAAAAGGATTATTTGGTATGCAACTTCTAAACTTCTATAAATAAATAAAGACTCAGTAAAGGTTTATTTGTCATCTTTTTAAATAAAATTGTTTCCCTGTTGATCCTGCAGAGGGTACTGGAAGACTCTTTTTCGAGTTCTACCGCATACTGACCTTGTTGAGGCCGAAAGAGGACGACAACCGTCCGTTTTTCTGGTTGTTTGAAAACGTGGTTTTCATGAGTGCCAATGACAAATCGGATATCTGCAGATTTCTGGAGGTAATGTTTCTTTAAGTAAAGGTAGCTACCAGCCTGTTGGAGGGTCAGACTGCATTAAGTTTTAATGCCTAATGTATGCTTTCTGCCTTCTATTGCAGTGTAATCCAATTCTTATCGATGCAATAAAAGTCAGTCCTGCGCACAGAGCACGCTACTTTTGGGGAAACCTGCCTGGCATGAACAGGTATGTACCAATACAGGCTAAAATATTTGTGTTGACTCACTGCAGATCATAGCAAGGATTTTAATGTGCAACTAGAACCTCAACAGACCCACAATAATCAAATAATTTGTATGTCTTTTTAATTTATTTATTTTTCTTCGGTTTTGATTGTTTGGTTTTGAGTGGTACTAAAAAGTCCTGAAGCTAACTGGCCTCAAGTTTACACTCTTGTCTCGGATTTCTTATAGACCTCTCGCTACATCTCTAGACGACAAGGTGACTCTGCAGGATTGTTTGGAATCCGGACGCCAGGCAAAGGTCAACATCATTTATTTCTTTATTTCTTTATTTATTTTTATTGGTCATGTTTAGTTTGGATTTAGTTTTAGGTTAATAGTGTGGCAACAATTTAAAATATTAGTTTTTGTGTAATCGTGAGACTATTATTTTGTGTTCAACACTGTTAATTTGACATTTCTCCCTGCAGTTTGACAAAGTCCGTACTATCACAACAAAGTCTAACTCAATAAGGCAGGGGAAGATGGGACCGCTGCCCGTCGACATGAATGGCAAGGAAGACTACCTGTGGTGCACTGAAATGGAACAGTAAGCATAATAAATTATTTACCGATTTGTTCCCAGTGTGACATTATCGATGTCAGTGTATAATGACTTCATTCTTGTGTGTTTAATGTGTGTCATCTGATAGTATCTGACTGAGTACATGCCTGAATGGTTTCTAAAAGCAAAACAATATAAACCACCACAAAGCGTTGATGTGCTGCACTAGTTTACACAGCTCTTCCCATTCAGCGTCACATGGGTGTAGCTGCTGCTACTAGTACACACTAGTTACATATAATGTTTATTAAGCTACATGCACTGCAGTTGAGTTGCATGTACACATCGCTTTACAGCTGACAGCTGGTCACTTGCAGACGACTGTAGTTGCGAAATAAAGGCCACCAACGGGAAGTGAAATGAGCACCGACTAAGTTTTCAGGGTTTGGGGTTTTGTTTTTTTTTGTAATGAAGTTTTGTTTTTTTTTACTGATACTTTCTATGGTCAGGTCACCACATCACTGTAAATCACTTCTAGTTTGTACCTAACTTTAGACCAGATATGATATGCCAATTCTAATATACTCATATTAAAATCCTAAAGCATTAAACATGAAACTTGGGCTTAGTAGTTGGTCCTGAGACAAGACAGGTGAGCAATGATGTAAACTTCAAAGAAGGCAGCATCTTTGATTCTGACCCTGAGCTGCAAAGTTGTCAAATTATGCTTTTTTTAAAAGTCCGTGTTTCTTTAGTCCGTTCAAAGATAAATTAATTCTGGGAGTTTGTTGATGTGACATCAGCGATTGTAAGACCAGGGAGAATTTGATTGGATGAGAGAAACCTGGAAATTACAGCCCTGTTTCACTCTGC